TTTTATTTGAGTAAATCTTAATTTTATTAATTATTAAAAAATTGGAGGCAAAGACAATAAATTCGAAAACTATATTAAATTATATCATTGCAAAGAGAAGAATTATTGAATAAGATTTCCAAAAAAAACGATATAAAGAAAATTGGAAAATTGTTAAGGAGGTCATATAGATTACGAACCTTAGCAAACTTTTTTTTGATATTTTCATTTCAATGTTTTTGTTAATAATTTTCATATTTTTATACTGCAAAATTTTTGATATTGAAAAGGAAAAACCATTGTAGAAAAAGTAAATTTTTCAATATCTAACCTTTATTCTTTTTAGCTCATTAAATGCACTCTTTTTGTGCTTGAAGATAATGAACTACAAAGATCAAACTATTATTCATTTTTTTGTGTAAATGTAAATGAATTTTGAACCAATCGTGTAAAATATTAATGGTTTTCTAAGATAATTTTCTGAGATTATTTAATACAGTTATAAATAACCCATAAGACGAAATGCTTCTCTAAGGACAAGTCTGTAATGACCCATGATTCTAACAGAATTTGGTAGACAACTGCCAGCTGTTTTTGGATCTGATTAATGGCATAATTTTCTTTAAAAAAAATAATATTTAGCTGAGAAGTTTTGCCTTTTAAAATGCTTTATACCTTTTTTTTTTGTCTTTTAAACTGCGTTTCTGTCAGAGCGTTAGCTGTTTACTTATTTTAATTATTGTCAAATACGCGGTAAAAATAATATTAAAATTAAAGGAAATCAAGTTCGTGTAACGATGTACGTGAATTTAACAAATATCCTAAAGAAATTAATATTATCCCTTGAAATTAAAGCAGCTCAAGTTCCATATTGCAAGGCAATTAACAGTCAGGGAAATTACGCGATTATGTTACTATTACGAGTATTGTATTCTTTTTTTTAATTATCCAATTTTGTTTTTATGATTTTAATGTTCCGAAACGCTGATTTTGAAAAGATGATTCTTTTTCATTTTTTATGAGATCCTGTTGTTTTCCGTTTTTCTTTATTGACTTCACTTTAAAAAATTCAACTTTATTCGAAATTTTCTGGATTAAAAAAAATTATCCACGAAGTTTTAAGTAAAAACAAAAGAAACAATTTTATCCTTTTGTTTTATTTCAAACCCGCAGGACCACAATATACTTTTGAGTTTGTTTTATTAAAACTCTAATAACAATTAATATTCCAACAAGAGTCAACTTAAGTTATGGTCCTTTCCGTTTTCATCTTAAATTATTTTCTTTTTCTTTATTTATTGCAATATTGTAATTATTTTTCATCCGGTGTTTTCTTATAAAATGTTAATAGTTTTTCTTAATGATGGCAAACCGCGGAAAATACTAATAAAAAAACAAAAATATGCTAAAATTTTATTGGGCTGGAAGAAGAGAAATATAGTGGATAGCAAAGAAAACAATTTTTTTAAGATGAAATTTTTTTTTTTATTAAAATTTTGAAATATCCTGAAATCTTAAAGAATTTCAAAATGTTTACTTGTTTTGCAATAGCGTTGCGTAATTAAGGGAAATAAAAATGGGGGAAAAAAAATAAACCGAAATTATTTTAGATGGTGTTGATAATGACCACGGTCGTTTTCGTTTCTCTTTGTCTCTGCGTTTTAAATGAATATAATTAAGGATTCGTTCTTATAATCAAAAGCTAAAATAATTATGAAAATAAAAAGAAATGAAAAACAATGGTTCATTTCCATGAGAAAGGTCAATATTAAATAATTTGACTTGTTGAAAATCAAAAAAGAAAAAAAAGGTTAAACACCACAAAATTATTTTTTATTTTTTTCGGAGAAAACCTCAATCAAGATTAACCAAAGGTATGATATTTGGCATAATAACAAGGAAAATACAGAAGAAAAAAAAAAGGTTCTACAAAAATTTCGCGGTAGTCCCTATGGTCGAAATAATTTCATATTTTCATTTCACAGAAATTTAAAATGATCATAACGTACAGCTAATTCAAATTAAAAACATACTTTAAAAAGTTTACATTCTATATGCTCAAGGTTTTATTAAAATTTTCAACATAATTATGTTCGGCTGATCATTATGCGCAAGTGTAATATTCATATTATATATAATTTATAAAATTGGGTATAGTATGCGGCTGCATTTTAGTTAACATAACTAAAATTTTAAAATTCTCAATTTCACTTTCAATTGCTCAACTTTCGAAATCTAATTTTAAAATACTGCGTTACTACTAGATTTTAATTGTTTAGAAACGGTGTCCGGCATTCACATTCACATTTTATTTACATCATAATTATTGTGATATTCAAGATAAGATCTAGGGAGATAACTATGTGGGAGAGAGAATAATGTAGTATTCTCTTCCTCATATCACATTAGAAATTAATTAGCGACATTCGTTCTAAGATAAACTAGTTATTCGTTGAAGCCCATGATAAATGATTCAATTACTATTTTATTTTTGGTAAAATAAGCCATTATATCTAACATAAGCCGTAGTAATTATGGCATCAATCCTTTATCCGAACGATTTCTAATTCAAATCCTGGTCAATATCAAAATATTAATATAAAAGTGCAATAACCAATATATCCAAGAACACATTCAAAATTGAATACTAACAAAAATATCGATAATCTTTAATATATATAGTATAAATCGGAAACTACGCAAGCTGGTCATCCGTCTAGTTAAAATTAAGATATTGTTTTTAAAATTTTAAAATAATCAGGATATCCTTTTAGGAGAACTACAAACTTAAACTCCATTAACTGCAAATACTTTCGTAATTATTTCTATTAAAAAATATGATTTTTATTAAATTTTATTAAAGAAAAAAGAAAATTATACTGAAAATCTAAATTTCCCATACCAAATTAAATATTTTATTAAAAAAATAAAAATTAAAACCTTTTCATAATTGGCTTCAATAATATCCTTGTAATAAAATTTTAATTTTCAAGTGTAATTTTCATTTTTCTTATTTTTCATTAGTACTTCTACGAGTATAATCTTTGATAATTGAAGCATAAAATACCATTTTGTATATTGCTTTTTCCCCCACCATCTACCCCTCTCTCTCTCTCTCTCTATCTCTTTCCCACCTAATAATTAATTCCTTTAATTAAAGACATCTTCAAAAATATACACCTTTAAAAAAAAAAATCATCTAAATTCTTTTTATTCAATAAAATTATGTAATAAAAAAGTAGGGTAAAAAAACAGTATAAAAATTAACAGAAGGATAAGAAAATAAAAAAAAACAAAACAAAATAAAGGATTCTGTTTATTTTGTTAGTCTTTTCTGTTTTGTTTTTTGAAAATTTTTACCTCTCTTGACATTATTAAAGCCATTTTACAGTCAAAACAAAAGTAAAAGAGCAAAAAAAAGAGAAAAATTATTTTCTCTTGGCATTTATTGGTCGGTCCATTATTACTTGTGAATGTATGCATGTGTGCATGTGTGTTCTGTGTAACACAGAAAAAAAATTACAATGGAATTCATAAAATACTTCTTAAAAATAAAAAAATTACACAAAAAAAAAGGAAAAAGAAAAAAATTAAAGTCCTTTGCTTTGCTTTTGTTTATTTTCTTTTTTTGTCTTTTATTTTTATTATGCATCGTATATATTGTTATTACTTTATGAATATATAATACATTCATTTTTACTGAACAATAAACCCCTAACTTATATCACATTCATTGTAATTAAAAAGGATATTTTTTTTTACATTATTAAAGAACAAACTGAATAAATAACAAAGTGAAAATTTATTTAAGAAAATAATAGAAAAAAAATTGAATATAAAGTCAGTCGAGTTAAAAAATTTAGTAAATATTAAAACTCTATTTCGGAGAAATTGACTTTTAATTCAAAATGATAGCTCAATAGTGTAAAATTTCCTGTACGAATTTTACAAAAGTTTTATAACAGTTATCAAAAGGTTCCATTTGATTAAAGTTTAAACTAATATTTCTTATTTAAATTTTTATCGTGAAACAATTGCATGTTGAGTAGATGTTAAATCAAATTTGAATTATTTACACGAAGTTGTTTGGTAGCCATTATAAAAATTTGACAATTGCCACATTGCTTGCTATCAGTAACCTGTGTAATAAACAAATTGTATAATATTAATAGGCATTCTTAATCTAAAAATAAACCGAACAAGGTGATAAATTCATAACTTGCTGGAAATTATTTTCCTTTTGTGGACATAAGACTAAGGAGCGAACATATGAACATTATGACGAAATACAATTTTGCTTATCTTCTCTTACCATGAATGCAAGTACATGCACAAAATAAAACCACACATTCACACTTATAAAATTTTAAATGGCATATGGAGCACTTTATTCTTTACATATTAAAGTACACATTGAGAAGGATTACTTGAAATGCACGTTAAATTTGCAAACTATTAAAATTGTTTATATTAAAAAAAAAAACGAAAATACAACAACAAACAAAGTATTGGTTTTTAAATTATCTGACTTTTTATTGTTTTTTCTTATTTTTATTATTCCCAAGTCTTTCTCGTATCATATTTGAATTAAATGTCATCGTTGTAATGTAAATTTATTTGCATTATACAAATATACATTCGCATGCATTTAATAAAAAAGAACAAACAAAAAAAATCTCTATAGGTAATTTTAATTTAAGTTTTCAACCGCATTCCAATGAAAATGGCATGTAGAGAAATTAACGATTATTGATCCTTCGAGAATATTAAATTATATTGGATTTGCATAGACCTATGCATACATATTTAATGCAAGGCATATTCAAAAAAGAAAAACCAGCAAGGATGCAGCTTGGTTAATTCATTTTTATTGTTTATAATCGCACAAACTCTTATTCCGAAATATACAAATTTGTAAAAACTTAACTACTGGCTTATAAAAATTAAAAACATAAAAATAAATTGTTTATATTTTTTTAAGTCCCTTCTTTTTTAATCTTATTTTCACTTTATTTAAATAGCCTTTGGATCGTGATCAGCCGAATGGACGACCACAATGGCGATTTACTGTATTTGCACAAGATGAAGGTGGTGAAGGTTTAGTTGGTTATGCTGATGTTCAAGTTAATCTAAAAGATATTAATGATAATGCACCAATATTCCCACAAGGTGTATATTTTGGTAATGTTACAGAAAATGGTACTGCTGGTATGGTTGTTATGACAATGACCGCTGTCGATTATGATGATCCAAATGAAGGTTCAAATGCAAAATTAGTTTATTCTATAGAAAAGAATGTTATTGAAGAAGAAACTGGTTCACCAATATTTGAAATAGAACCGGATACTGGTGTTATTAAAACAGCTGTTTGTTGTTTAGATCGTGAACGTACACCAGATTATTCAATACAAGTTGTTGCTATGGATGGTGGTGGTTTAAAGGGTACTGGTACGGCATCAATACGTGTTAAAGATATTAATGATATGCCACCACAATTTACAAAAGATGAATGGTTTACGGAAGTTGATGAAACCGATGGTACTAGTTTACCAGAAATGCCAATATTAACAGTAACTGTACATGATGAAGATGAAACAAATAAATTTCAATATAAAGTTATTGATAATAGCGGTTATGGAGCTGATAAATTTACAATGGTACGTAATAATGATGGTACTGGTAGTTTAAAAATAGTTCAACCATTAGATTATGAAGATCAATTACAAAGTAATGGTTTTCGATTTAGAATACAAGTAAATGATAAAGGTGAAGATAATGATAATGATAAATACCATGTTGCATATTCATGGGTTGTAGTTAAATTACGTGATATAAACGACAATAAACCACATTTTGAACGGGCTAATATTGAAGTATCAGTTTATGAAGATACAAAAGTTGGTACTGTATTAGAAAAATTTAAAGCAACTGATCCAGATCAAGGTGGTAAATCTAAAGTATCCTATTCAATAGATAGATCATCAGATCGTCAAAGACAATTTAGTATAAATCAAGAGGGTTCTGTATCAATACAAAGATCATTAGATCGTGAAGTTGTACCACGTCATCAAGTTAAAATTTTAGCAATTGATGATGGTATACCACCAAAAACAGCAACAGCTACATTAACTGTTATTGTACAAGATATTAATGATAATGCACCGAAATTTTTAAAAGATTATAGACCAGTTTTACCAGAACATGTACCACCACGTAAAGTTGTTGAAATTTTAGCAACTGATGATGATGATCGTTCAAAAAGTAATGGTCCACCATTTCAATTTAGATTGGATCCGGGTGCTGATGATATTATAAGAGCATCATTTAAAGTTGAACAAGATCAAAGTAAGTAAAAATATTTAATTTTATATTTCAAATTAATATAATTTTTAGAATTAATAAAATTATTTTATAAATATATACAAAAGAATCCATAAAAAGTAGGATAAAGCTTTACGTTTTTTGAAAGTGGAAGCGTTACGCAGTGAATCTTCTTCAACTATGTACGACGATTTCAACTAAATGTAAAATAAATTACATAGACTTAATTTCGTGAATGTATTCCCGGTTTTGTCCAAATGTTTGACGCGGGTCTTAAAAAACAATATTCTCTTGTTGATTTGATTGCACCCGGGTCAAAGGCCGGAAACTGTTGAATCGAAATCGTGCTCTACTAAATATTGAATTATTTATGAAAAATTTCATAATGAAATTCTTAAATTCTCCTTATTTTCTTGCATCTCAAATGTCAAATCATTCCGATATTTATGAATATTTTTTTCTTACAAAAAAAAAAAAATTTTATATTAAGTATTGTTTTTTCCGAATAATTTTGTTCCCCATACAATTTTTTCATAAGAATGAAAACTTATCTAATATAGGAAATGGTTTGATAAAAGCTTTTGTTTTTGTTTTTTAATTCACTTTTTTACACACACTCCTGTTTATAGAACAATAATTTTTATTTATCTTCATGCTGGGCGGCGAAAGAACGGGATCGCTCTTACTCATCCAGCATTTATTTAATGTACGATGAAATTGATGGAATTCTATCCCAGTTGAAATGGGAAAGCATTAATCTTAAATGTTTGCTATGTCAAAGTCTTCACAAAGAACAATTTATCACACAAGAAAAAACAAAAAAACAGTACAATATAAAAATAAGGGCGCAGAAAAAAAATTTACTTAAATTTTTCTTTTCCTATATAAAATTTTTTTTTTCCTCTATCTCTCTCTTTCGAATACAATGGTGTAATCTAAAAACAATTTTTATTTTTTTCGTTCTGTTTTTTTATTATTTATTTTTAAATTAAATTCAATCTCTTAAAAACATTTCTTCACTTTTTTATTATGTACTTTCTACAGATAGCATTATGAAATAAAACAGGTAATATAATCTAGCCGAATTCCACATGTTGAATTTTTTAATAGAAAATTCCTGTTGTTTATCATGTGAGAAAAACACAAAGAGATTGTTTTTGGAAGGTTTTGATTTTCTTATCAATTACTTCTCCTTACATAAGCTTTACGATAGAAAAACCGCACGAACTGTGCACTACTGTGAAATTTTCACAAAGCCGGTTTTATATATGAACTTTATGTTTCAGTTCTAAGTTCATTTCGAGAATGTCACGAATTACGTAACCAAATTTAGTTATAGATTGTAATCTAACAGAAAATGGAACTATATTATTAGAATTCCAGTTTTGGATTTTATTTAAAAATAACCAACCCCATATGATCTTTCATACGTTGATCCCATCAATTTTTCATATAATCTCTTACTCATATTATTTGAAAATATAAAATAGATTATTAAAAAAAAAAATTATATAAGAAAGAAAAAATTAAGTATAAAAATGGGCTATAATGCGTTCTAAGGTGAAAACACTTTAAAACTCCAAAAATATATAATTGAAAAATAAAATTCAAAAGATTATTAAAGAAGAAACACCTTCAAGGAAAATCCATTCTCCGCCTTGTATTAAATTTAATGTACGTTATTTAACAGGCGAAACGAAATAAAATTGTTGAAAGAAAATTACAAAATAAAAAAATGAAAAAAATATAAAAATAATTATTGAAAATTCTACACCTAAAAACTTAAAGTAGGAAAAGTGTTAAAAAATCTAAAAATAGAAAAAAATAATAGAATTGAATTTATTTAATCCGAATTTAATAGAATTAGATAGAATAATTTTAAAGGATTACAAATAAAAAAAAAAAAAAAACAAAATTTTAAGGCGGTAGTTAAAATTCAATAATTCTAAAATAACTTTTTGATAGTAACTGCGATTGCCTTGTAACCAAATCACAAACTAAAAGACAAGTAATTAATTACTTAAAATAAGCTGACTTTCAATTCCAAATGCAAATAAACGAGTCTATGAATTGGGATAATCAAGCAACAAGTTACAAATAAAAAATTATAATGTTGAAAAATAATAATTGTCCCACTTTCAAATCGTTTTCCTCTCAAATTTTTGATTTTCTTTCTGAATGATTTTCTCCAGATAATTTCATTTTCATTATATTTCATTTCCAAATCGTTCCGGTCCCAAATTTTTTTTATTCTTAATTTGTTCTATTACTTTAATTACGTGGAAAGAGAACCTCTACTAACTTTATATTATTTTATGAGGCGATTTGTAACATTAATTGTTTAATGAAAAAAAGCAATAATGAAAGATAGTTATTTTGAAAAATTGTAATATAAGGAAGATTTTAATAAATATTAAACTAGAATATTTAATTTTCTATTTCACTTTTTTCCATATACACTGATTATCTACTTTAATAGGCATAAATGACTATAATATTACTTTTGGAATTCGCAACTTGTTAGAGAATTAAGAGCCAAATTAAAATTCTCACGAAGAACTCATCTTATGTTATAATTTATATTGTGCAATAAATTCCTAATTTGCATTTTGCCTTGCACATTTTAAATAATTAATTTTTTTAAAGAGAATAACCACGAATTCTCTTGTGGGTAAAAAGTACCCATAGTAATTTCCAACTTCAAATTTTAAATTATTGCAATTTATTTTTCATAAATTATAAAAATTTTAAATAAAATTTAAATTTATTTTAATTCAGTATATGAAAAAAATATTAAAATATTTGGTAATTATTTTTAATTCTCTCTCTCTTATTTTTTTAATTATTTTTCATTTTTTCTCACTTTGATTTTGAATTCTCTATGTACTTCTCCATATATTATTATATTTGCTCATTTCGGTGAGCAGAAAAGATATAATTTTTTTTTTTTATTTCCGTTTATCCTGCAAATTTCTATTATTTTTTCTTTTCTCTTTTATAAAAATTTTCTTATAACTTTTTACGCTTGAATACTTGACATTGGTATGGTAATGTAACCAATATGAACGAGGTTGTGGAAATTTGAATATGAAAAATAAAAAAATAAAATAAAATTATTTACCCCGAGCAATTTTTTTCTTTTTTTCAATTTATTTTTCACAAATAATAGCAAAAGAAAAGAAAAAGTACAAAAATAAAAATAAATAAAACAAGATGTGAAAATTAATTTTTCTTCTTTCCTCATAATCCATATAACTACCTACCTATGTATATACACCTATAGTATTTAATGTACCAGGATTTTAAGCAACAGTAAATAAGAGAAAAAAATTTCATATATCAAGCAACCATTACACTTTTTTCCACAACTTTTATTTCTATTTTCATTTTTTTTTTCACTTTTTTTTTTTTTTGGCGTGCTGAAGTCCTTGACACCAACGCTATTTATTTTAATGAATTCTCTCTTATATCTATTTAATTTAAATGAACGGAGATAATATAAAAGGATCTTTAATTTTTTTATTTTTATTTTTTTTTATTATTTTTTTTTCGAAAATCATGTTTAACATATACTCTTCTCATACTCTTAAAAGTTAACATCCCGAAAAGGATAAAAAATGATTGGAAAATAATTTTTGTTTTTTTGTTTTTTTTTGTTCACAAATTCAGTACAGTGGAAAAAAGCTGCTTCCGATTTTCCTTTTCTATACATTAATTTATTATTAATTTATTTAAATTTTTATTATACTTTTCGAATACCTTTTTAATTCAATTAATTCCTCTTTTATATAATGAAGATTAATTTTTACTTATATTTAGAATACGATAATTTATTTCAGATATTCTAGATATAGAATATACAATATAATTGTAAAATGAATGTATTCCACAATAATATTAAAATACAGAAAAAAAAACCTCAATTTTTCTATTTCTATAAAATTTTATTTGATGAGCATATATAAGCCATCATATAAGTATTTATGTACGTATGTTTAATTATGTTAAAGAGCAAAGAAAAAAAAAAAAGGAAATTAGAGAATACAGAATGTAAAAAATAGTAAAATTGTTGAATATATCCTGTAAATATGCAATTAAAAGAGAAATAGTAAAATGTTATAAAAACAATGTAAATAAAAAGGAGATAAAAATAAGGCAAAAACAAAAAATAAGGACATGACATCAAATAATTAATGATAAATTACCAAAAAGGATATTTAACTTTCACATATACGAGCATTTTATTTTATATACATATATACATACATACTTATTTCTTACATATGAAAAAAAAATTGATGTGATCAGCATATAACCGAAAGTTTTGTGCATTTTTTGAATAATACTTACAAATTTCAACAAATCTATTATTTTTAGATTTTCGAAAGTTTACGCAGTGAATTCGGTTCTAAGTAGATAAAAATATGGAATTCGATCTAGAATTGAATGGGAGATTGGCTTACAAGATTCGTTGACAAACCGGCTTTCAATATTAAATTTCATAATATTTTCTTAATTCCTTAAGTAGGTATGGCCGTAGATATAAAATCGGATGTGAGTATGCCTCAATTTTCGACGATTAATTGCGTCGTCAAAAAAATGCGTCAGCCAAAAACAATTGCTTTTTGTAAAAGGAAAAGACCAATTACTGTGGTACCGGATTTTCCCTATAATTTTGTTGTTTCTTTATTTTATCGAACTTATCCTTAATAGTTTATGTAAGCTTCTATACCCCTTTTATTATACGCAATACACTCATTAAAACCATACATATTGTTCACGTTTGTATATCATGAGTAATAATTAAAATAATAATGTCTATGTATGTACATATTAAATTAAACAGAAATACATGTACTTATTTACATAATTCTAATAAAATTTACAATAAAAAAAAAACTGTTGTGTATGTAAGGTACTTTACATTTACATAAATGTTATGCATTATGCATGCATGTTGTTTACATTCAAACAAAAAATAATATAATGAGTGTTCAAGGCAGTTGCATAAATTTCATTCCATA